GGTCTCCTCACTGCTCCATGTCCCATCGGGGGGTGGTGGTTGGAACTCACCGTTGCAGATGTGTCTACGGAGTCAAGGTCGACCTGAAATTTGTCCTCGAGCGGGGCATCTGTGGGATGAAGGGTCTCAGCAGGGATGGTCAGGGTGGGGATGGGGTCACCAAGGACCCCCACAAACACCCACCTTTGTTCCAGAAGGTGAAGCTTCCTGGGAAGGTCCATGCCTCCTGGGGGTGGTGGTTGGAACTCACCGTTGCAGATGTGTCTACGGAGTCAAGGTCGACCTGAAATTTGTCCTCGAGCGGGGCATCTGTGGGATGAAGGGTCTCAGCAGGGATGGTCAGGGTGGGGATGGGGTCACCAAGGACCCCCACAAACACCCACCTTTGTTCCAGAAGGTGAAGCTTCCTGGGAAGGTCCATGCCTCCTCTGTGTCCTCATACCACCTCTGCTTCATCGCCTTCTGGGTGCTGGGTGGGAGATGCATGTGAAGTCACCACCAGCGGGTCCATCCCTTTCCTGAACCCACCATCTCCTCCATCTCCGCCCCACAGAGGACCAAGGTCCCCACCCCACCCCTGGAACCACACTGTTGAGTTTTCTCCAGGATGAGTAACACCTTGGATCACACGTTTAAAAAAATATAAATCACCAACTCAACAAGATCTCCCACCCCATGGAGGGTACCAGGGCCAGACCCCCCCAAACCCACCACCTGTCCCCCATCACCTGTAAAACGTTCTGGTCCTCCGAGCTCGGAAGAGGAAGATGGCGAGGACGATGACTGTTATAGCCAGAATCGCCACGGCCAAGCCGAACCCCACCGCCATCTTGTTGACACGGGTCTTGCAGCGATTATCCTGGTACCAGTAGATATCGGTCTCGTAGCAACTGTGGGGAGAGGATGGAGGGGTGAATGCAAAGCCGGGACCCCCAGAAACAACCCCCCAATGCCTTTTTTTTCCAAACTCAAGCCCTTGCTTGGGCCAACACCCTGCTCCAGCCCAGAGTTTTTAATCCATTTCCATGCAGACATGAGCTTGGAGATGACCACTGAGGTGCACCAGAAGGGCTGGATGCATGTGGGATGGTTTTGGAGATGGGTGATGGTTTTATGGCAGCCCTTACAAGCACTGTGGACCACTCCGGGTGAGCTGGCACTGCCCCTTGTTACAGTTGATGGTGCCAGAGGTGTCCGGGGTGCAGTTGGATATGCAGTAGAAACCAGAGCTCGTCAGGTTGGGAAAGTAATAGTCCCGGTAGTCCTCAGCCACTTTCTGCTTGCAGTAGGCTGGAGAGGGAAGATATGTTGGTTGGGGAGATGTCAGCCACCCCAAACCTGGCTGCAGACCCCCCGCCATGTGGCAGCCCCATCCGCTCACCCTCTCCATCGAAGTTGAGTGAACTGTTGCCGAGCACCACGTCGGAGGAGTTGAAGCACAGCTCGTCTGCAAAAGAGGTGTCATAGGGGACATGCCCCACAGCCCATTCCCAGGGGTGGGCATGAGGTTTTGGGTGGGTGGGAAGGCGTCCTCCACCCCATAGGTTGCCCAACTCCTCCCCATCCCCTTGCCAAGAGGCTCCCAGGTACCATCTGTGCAGTTCTGCTGCTCCACTGCTGCATGAATCTCTTCATGCAGGTTCATCGTGATGTTTTGGAGCTTCTCCTGGCTTTGGGCGGTCACCATCAGGGAGATGATGACAACGTGATCCACCACCACGCTGCCGGGTCTGGTGGGAAAAGCCACCATCCTGTTGCAAATGCCCTTTTCCCAAGGGATTACCCCAGCTCCTGAGGATCAGGGCCGGTTGGTGCACCCCAAAACCCTCTCCCCATTGACCAGCAGCCCAGAACTCACCTCAGACGCTGGACCTCGATGCCCCTGTAGCCCTGAATGTTTTTGTAGACCACATTCATCTGGAAGAGAAGTGTCCAGGGGATAAATTTGGGTCACATTCCCTTCCCCTCCTTCTGGATCTCTCACATCTATGGTGTCCCCTGCCAAATACATTCCAGTGTACCCAGAGAAGACCATGCAGAGAAACCCCGACGCTTGCAGCACCTATAGGACACATTTGGATGCACAACCAGGCGCATCATGACCCCAGGAAGGGTCAGTCCCTTCCCCATGTCCCTTCACCTGCTTCGTGAATTTCTCAACAAACTCCAAGTAGGCGGAAGAGCTGGCGTTTCGGAGATCATCGGTGAACTCCCGGTTGGTGACCCGCAGATTCACCTCCACTGTCCCATTTGTCTCTTTTGGGGAGGGAGGAGATGCAAATCAAGATCAGGACATGAAGAAGACAAGGGGAGACAGCCCCTTCCTTGCAGGAGGGACCCCAACGTCTCCATTTCACACCGATGGCTTTAGGGTTTGTCACAAAAGAGCCAAGAGAAGCTTCCTCCAGCCATTGCGAGGAGCTGATCTAGACATCACCAGGCCATCTACTCCTCTAGACGCAGGCACTGATCCCACCACCAACTCCTCAATATTACTGTTGGGCATCACAGCTTTGAGCTCCTTAGGGCACTAACGAGCCTTAATTACCCTGACTGGCCTCACCTAGAACCTCCACCCTCTGCTCATTGGCCCAGAAGCTGCATTTAAGCTCAGCCCAGCACACCCAGAGCTTGTTTGAGCTCTGTTGAGGGTGATCAACCTCTGAACCCATCTCTGATCCCAGCTCCTGGCTGTAGCTTGGACTTGGGTCATTGCCCCATCCCATGCTCTTCCTATTGGGTCCACTGGTGTGGATCCTGGTCCTACCTCACCCAGGGTGGTCAGTACCTGCTACAGTCATCACCTTTGCCCCCATTTTTGGGTGCTGTGGGACCATACCCTGGTTAGGGAGAACGTTGCTTGTGCTACGGTCACTCTTGGTTCATCCTTCCCACCCTGGAGAAGCCCCTGCTGTTATTCCTCCCCCAGCAGATTGTCCTGCACTAGATAAACCTTAACAAGAAGGATTTCCTACCAGCGTTTGTTTCGATGGTGTCCATGACCACAGTACATTCGTCACCCATGAAACCAATGTGACACTCGCAGTGGCCGTCCACCCAAGTACCACCGTTATAGCAGATCCCTGGAAAAAAACCAACCCAAGGGAGTGACACAAGATGGAGGGGAAGGAGTTTGGCCATCGGGCCTGGAGCAAAAGGTGGGCTGGCACGTACCTGGAGTGGTGGTGGGAGGTGCAGTCGTGGTGGGCTTGGTGGATGAAGAGTTGGTGGTGGTGATGAGAGATGAAGTCACGTTGTTGGGATATGAAATCGTAGTTGATTTCGTGGATGAAGCGGAGATGGTTGCAGTGGTGGTGAAAGATGAGTTGGTGGAGGGTGCAGAAGTCCTAGAAGGTGTTGTGACGAGTGGAGGGGACTTCGAAGACATCGTGGGAGTTGCAGAAGTGCTGGTGGCTATGGTGGGTTCCAAAGTGGCAGTGGAGATGGAAGAAGTGGTGGTGGTGGGAGCAGACACACCAGTATCTGTGGAGGGTTCAGAGGTGCTGGTAGCTGTGGAGGGTGTACGGGTGGTGGTGGTGGGCAAAGAGGGGCTGGAAGCCGTTGTGGTGGTTGAAGAGGTGCTGGTGGTCGTAAGGATGGGTGGTGAGGTGTTGGAGGTTGCTGTGGTGGGTGCAGAGGTGGTGGTAACGGTGGTAGGTGCAGAGCTCATGGTGACAGTGGAGGTTACAGAAGTGCCGGTGTCAGTCGTGTTATGAGAGGTGGTGGGGGGCAAAGAGGTGCTGGAGACCAAGCTGATGGTTTCAGAGGTGCTGGTGGCCGTCGTGACTGGTGGAGAAGTGCTGGAGACTGTTGTAATTGGTTCAGAGGTGCGGGTGTAAGTGGATGTTGCAGAGGTGCTGGTGGGAAAGGTGGGCGCAGAGGTGGTGGTGCCAGTGGTGGTATGAGAGGTGGGGGTGATGGTGGTGAGCAAAGAGGTGCTTGGGGCCATAGTGGTGGTTTCAGAGGTTGTTGTGACAGTCATGGTCAGTGCAGAGGTGCTGGAGAGCGTTGTGGTGGGTGCAGAGGTGCTGGTGGGCATGGTGGTTGCAGAGGGGTTGGTTTCAGTTGTGGTAGAAGGCTTTGTGGTGACGGTGGTGTGCAAAGAGGTGCTGGAGGAGATCATGGTGGGTAGAGAAGTCGTTGTCATGGTGGTTGTGGTGGCCGTGGTGGTTGCAGAAGTGCTGGTGTCGGTAGTGGTATGAGAGGTTGTGGTATCAGTGCTGGGCAAAGAGGTGCTGGAGGCCATGGTGGTGGGTGCAGAGGTGCTGGTGGCCATGGAGGTTTCAGGGGTGCTGGTGGCTGTCATGATGGGTGCAGGGGTGATTGTGGATAAGGTGGTTGTAAAGATGGTGGAGGGCACTGTGGTGGGTGCAGAGGTGCTGAAGGTTGTTGTGGTGGGTGTGGGGGTGGTGGTAGGTGTGGTGAGTTCAGATGTGCCGGTAGCGGTGGTGGGAGTGGAGGTGCTGGTGCCAGTGTTGGGAGAAGATGTGGTGGGGCCAGTGGTGGTTACAGAGGAGGTGGAGGCCATGGTGGTGGTGGTTGCAGAGGAGCTGGTGACGGTGATGGGTGCAGAGGTGGCCATGCTGGCTGCCGAGGGGGGGGGGTCTGCAG